ATTACATGTAAGTCTCGTATTTCTTGAGAGGTGCAGTAAACAGGCGTGCAAAATAACCGCTGAAGATGGCATTGTGTGAACAGGCATCTACGATAGCATAGTCGCTGCAGTGAATTTTGGGGTAGGGACCTCTACCCATTTGTCGGCCGCCCGCCTTATGGTAATATTTCCATAACCTGAATTATATCTTCCTCTCATTTCAGGAATTCAACGGCCAAATGAACGCTCCTCACGAGGGAGATAATGTGCCTCACAGAAGGACGTATGTAAACTTCAAAACGACCAATATATCTCAAAATTTCAAGACGTCCATTTTGGGCCTTTTCCCCGCTACCGATGGATGGATTAGTTAGGCATTGTGTACCCCTAGCCGCAATGTTGGTGGTGTGCGTCGGTTAAGATCGTTCAGCTGTCTGGTATTACCGACGTAGGTTCTATGTGGCTAGTTAGTTAGGCATCGCGTACCCCTGGCCGCATGTTAGTCGTGTGCGTCGGTTAAGATCGATGAACCTTGATGTCTTTCTAGCATAATTCGGAACCTATAATAAAAAAATCTCTGTAATTTGCCAGCCAACGTGCACGATGTTTAGCAAATAATTAGCGTGCGCTACGGAATTTTTACTGGTAACAAAGAATCAGTGACCAAAATTTGTTTGCACGAATGCGCCTGCGCTTATGTTGCATCTCCAAAGGCCATTTAGATTCTAGAATGATGAAGAAATCTGTTCCGGTGGGAAAATACCTGAAAGTTACGTTCATTGTATGTGTGTCAACCTTTTCCACAATTCACGATTTTTTATCATCGGATAACGTATTCACAGTTGGCGGTGTTTATTGACCTGGAGATTTCGTTCACTTAAATAAATCGCCACAGAAAAGGATTTTCAATAATACAGGCGCATGTACATTATACATAAACACTCTACACTATGAAGTGGCAAGTCTGAAAATGCCGTAGATTTCGAGAAATCAAACTCATTGTGCAAGTAGCCAGCGGCATTATCCTCCCAACATCAATGAAACCCGCTGATCCTCACAATATCCGGTGCTGGTGACAACAATAGTAATAACCATCAGTGGTATGCGAGCGAACTCGAACAGATGGTTCAAAGAACAGAGGGCTATAACCACTTCACATTTATTTAAACACCTCGACCTAACATTTCGCTTACTTAAATAAACTGCTACTTGCGACATGTCACAGGAAGGTGCAAATTGACTAGACTAACTCCCCATTAAAATAGCAACTTCGAAAACCCTATAGTTTCGGCGAACTCAACGGGATGTGACAGTTGCCTGCGGCCTTCGTCTGCCGCTGGCTATTCGCACAATGAGATTGATTTCTCGAAATCTACGGCACTTTCAGACTTGCCACTTCATAGTGTAGAATGTCTATGTATAATGTATATACTCCTGTATTGTTGAAAATCATTCACTGGCGATTTGTTTAAGTGAGCGAACGCTCAAGGTCAACAAACACCGCCGACTGTGAATACCTCACCTGATGATAAAAAATCGCGAACTGTGGAAAATGTTGACTCACTTACAGTAAACGTAACTTTCAGATATTTTTCCACCGGAGAACTTTCCTCATCATTCTAGAATCTAAATGGCCTTTGGAGATGCAACATACACGTAGGTGCACTCGTGCAAAGTAATTTTGGTCGATGATTCTTTCTTGCCAGTAAAAATTTCGTAGTGCTAAACGTCGTTGCTAAACGTCGTGCACGTTTTCTGAAAAAAAAAGTTTTCCATTATAGGTCATGAGTTATGCTAGGAAGAAATCAAGGTTTATCTGTTAGGAACATGGAACATACGTCGATCGTAGCGGACAGCTGAACGAACCTAACCGACGCACACAACTGACATGCGGCCAGGGGTACGCGATGCCTAACTAACTGGCCACATAGAACCTACGTCGATCATACCAGACAGCTGGACGGACTTAACCGACACACACGACTAACATGCGGCCAGGGGTACACGATGCCTAACTAACTGGCCACATAGAACCTACGTCGATCATACCAGACAGCCGAACGAATTTAACCGACACACACGGATTCCACGGCTTTCTGTTGGTCTTGGAGGGTGCCTGCTGCACTTTTAGTGCACCCATTCGTAACGCAAACTAGTGTTGGAGCTTCGATTACTGGATGAACACACAAATATCACAAATTTGCACCTTCCCGTGACATGTTGCACGTAGCAGTTTGTTTAAGTGAGCGAAATATCCAGGTCATTGACGATCGCCGATTTGCATTTTTTGCCGGTTTACGCGACATAAAACACGAAATCGCACTTTAGTATATTTTGGCGTTTTTCGATGTTCCTGAAGAATAAAACATCATCTTGACAGTATTTAATGCAAATGCCACCATATAGGGTCAGTCGCAAGCGTTTGATTGCTTTAGACACCTCAGATTTAACAAATGGGATATTTTTGTTCGGCAGACCTGCTCACAACACATTTTCTTCACGGATCTCATGTTCCATGAAGTGCAATAAAGTTAGATAAAAGCACAAACTTGCAGTAGCAGTGCGAGGGACATCTGTGGATAATCCCCTTTCCCAGATATGCGTAACTAGCTTGTAGGTAATACAGTGTTACGAGATAGCTCTGGGCGTCTTTCCTATTACAACTATGACGTTCTATAGTTGGTGACCACCATAAAGCGGTCACTGCAATTACGGTAGCGGTTGCCGCTCAACTGGACTACCTATTATAGCTGCTGGATCCGCGTCTATGTGCGACGCTAATTACGGTTCCCCACATATGCGCGGCAGCCCAATCCAATGAGCAACGACGGCCACTTGTACTCGTATCTTTACTAGTTTTCACTCATATCGAATACTTGTTGTAACTGCTAGGCCCACGTTTATGTGCAACGTTGATAATGAGACTGCACCTGTGCAAAGTAACATAATCCAATGGTCAATGACGGTCTTTTATACCCTTAACTATACGCGATCCCGCTTGTCTTTACTAGCTACAGTAAACACCAGTGCAATATATATGTCGACCGGTAAAAATAAGGCCTCAGCTATGCGTGATAGCCACATGTGACAGCCTGTTATACTCACAACTGTACTCGAAGTCATCTAACTTGGCTATTGATCGTACCTGTTGAGTCCGTATCCTTGTGCATATATACCTAACCTAATGGCGAACGATGAACCTAATACTCAAAACTGTACGCGATATCGCCTATCTTGACTACTTATTGAAACTGCTATGTCAGTGCCTATATGCGACGCTGTTTAGTAAGTCTCAGCTATGCGAAGTGTCCTGATTTAACTGCCAACGATGGCCCGTCATAACCATAAATGTGCGCGCTCTCGCTTATGTCTGTTACTTATATCATCATGGAGAGCATGAAATCAGTGTTAAACACCGTGCTTCACTGTTGTACCTGCCTGTTACCTACAGTAAACACCAAGTCAGTGTCTATGCGGGCCGATAGAAACCAGGTCCCAACTATGCGTGACATCTTAACGATCAACGGCTGCCCGTCATACTCGTAACTTCAGTTGATATCGCCTACGTTGGCTGCTTATCGTAATTGCAAGACCTGTGTCTATGTGCAACGCTGAGTATAAAGCTGACGGTCTTTCATACCCTCAACTATACGCGATGCCGCTTATCTTCGCTACCTACAGTAAACTTCAATGCAATATATAAGCTGACCGGTAAAAACAAGAACTCAACTATGGGTGATGGCCTAATCTGACAGCCTGGTATACTCATAACTGTACTCAAAGTCACCTAACTTAGCTATTTATCGTCATACTCATACTTACTCGACGCCGTTTATGTTTGCTACCTTCAGTAAACATCAAAACTGTAGTCGACGTAACCTACGGTGTCTACCTATAGTAACTGCCAGGCCCGTACACATGCTCGTAGCTAAACATAATGCCTCGGCAACACATAACAGACTAACCCAACGATCAACGGTTATCATCACCAGTCAAACTGCAATCACCACCCATTTTGATAGCGCCCTCCGAACTTCTACTGTTGAATGTACCCCCTCGACCACTCCCTCCATTACCCGAAACAATGAGCTGTCGCTCACCTCGGCTACTTAGCGTAACTGCTAGCCGCGACGCAGATTATGAGGCCTCACCTATGTACGCCAACGCAACACAATGGCCAACGACGGCGTTCCATACTCATAACTCAACCTGTTGATAATGCGCCAGCCATGAAGTTACGAAAACACCAAGAAAACACCGGCTCCAATGACGGAGCACCATATTTCAAAAGGGTACAACACTCCTTTAACTCATCATTTGTCAGTCGCCGGTTGATGGGGAGCCTGCCAAAAATAAACTTGCTGCGTAGATGGTTGTGCTCCAGGTAGTAGGAAGTAACCCTCAAGCAGTCATGGTACGGGCGAACATGGAATCTTGCCGGATAATCAGAACAACGTGTGCTACCGGGTACACACAATCAACCATGAACTTACAAAGTGCGACGAATTCCACGGCTTCGGCTTCGTCTGCAGGGAGATCTGCTGCAACGTTAGAAGGCTTTTTCATACAAAAGTGGCGAATTGCTGCTCTTTTTGGAGTGCAGGCGGACGGAAACGACGAAAATTTTCGCTTGGTACTTTTTCAAAGCGACTTGAAATGCACTGAATAAAAAAACTTTGACGAGTTAAATCCTCCACAAAACCACCCCTCACATTTACGTGCTCAGCCATAGAAACCATTAAATTATGAATGTCACGGGCCTTGAATATCGTGGGGATTGAGTAGATTTAAACGACTTTCAACAAAACTGCGGCCGTTTGGGAAGATTTCATACGCCCGAAAAATTGCTATCAAATGTTAAAACTTCATGTTAAAGTTTTCCTCCTACGAACCACGGTTTCCGAAAAATTTTGGGTATGAGTCTAGCCGTCGGCCCTAATTAACAACCAAAGGTCTTTTATTTCTACAGCGCCCCCGCAACATCTAGGACGTTCACTATAGTTCGAAGTAATACCAGCATTCATGAAGTCGGACTTTTGCTTGCACCCATAAGCCTTCCAGAAATTTCGGGTCGCTGGGTAAATCCTTGAGTATTTTGGTACCTAAATAAAGAAAGAAAGTGGTCGTCGGTAAAGCCTGAAACGCCCACTGAAAATCTTAGTATTGGTGTGTCAAATGTGTGTTGGACTGGGCGATTTGAAGCGTTCCCTTTGTGGTGGGATTACTGAAAACCCGTGACACCATACTGACCATTTCCGTGCACGATTATGTCAATTAAAGCAGAGGGGTGCAGAAGGCGTAAATTTTAAAAATTCTGTGACAACGGCAATAATCACAAAAATATGAAAAAATACATGACACGGATTATGAAATGGCCTGGAGTCATTTCTGGTTTGAGTATTGATTGCTCGAGGGATTTTGGCCGGATTGCTTAGCGTGCACTAAAATGGCTCACCATTTTGTATAAACTGGACCTGTAGTGTGTTGAAGGTGAGTGTATGCAATATTAAAATGTCCACGGTTGCCTTGTAAATGTAAGCAATTAGTGAAGCAAAGGAAACAGGTAATGTTCTTCCAAGATTCATATTGTGGAGACACATCAGTTTTCCAACGTAGCACACCGAGTTGGGGACACAAAACCGCTTGTGGGGAAGTTGGCAGGAATGTAGTTGTTTACGAAATTTTGCGATTCATTTAGTGCTTCATTTGCACCATAGTTTGGTATCAAAGGTGAGGTTCAGCGAAAATTTTGTTTCACAAAATGTGCAGCAACACACCGAAATCAGACTAGACGTTGTCATTATACATATGTGAGTTTTCGGATGACGTCTGGCGTTGGAACACAGAGTGATCTTTTTGCGAGACGACGAAGAAATTTTGTCATCCACGTCGTGAAAACTGGATTGGGGTTTCTTTCAAATGTTCGCATAAATGGGCTCTAAAGAAGAGAAAAAATGATAAAAGTTAATGTTACACTGTACTGTGACTGCAACTTCCTTTCAGCTTCCTGTATTTGAATAGAGTTTATTAAATTTTTACCTCCACTCACGTGTATCTTTCTTACTACACTAATTAACACCCCATTTCTTTCTTAAACTCAAAATGCAAGATTGTCTTCGAATTTTGGTAGAAGTGTTCGCCAATGCTGACTGAAGAAATCACGGTGGCCAAGCTCGATGCACTTTTGTTGCCTTTAAAATAGACAACTTTTTTTCGCACACAGTTGCAATTTTTCAATTTGGTTGCGCATACCTACGGGACACTGCCGTGGATTTTATTTTATTTTTATTTTTATGTATTTATGTATGTACTTCTTGCTTATGGAGTCCTGTACCAAATTTGTCTCTTTAAGGTCCAACTGGTTTTTCTTCGCGGTCTCGGGACAAACAAATACCTAGGCTCAATTGGGTTGGTTGGCATGCTGCACCTGTTTTTTGGCCACATCAAGTAATCAAAACGTTATGCGATAAAAGTTTGAATAGGAGCAAACTTCTGACTTTTAAATTATGAGCACTAGGTGCGTACCAAGTGTCCTTTAGGAACTATGTCAGAGTTGCACGTTAGGCGAACCCTTAGGAACATTTAAACTTCATTTAGGACTATGGATGTAAAATATGGAAGTCATTCGTCATTGCGCAAAGTCTAGTCATGCATTGTTGCTAATATTAATGATAATACTAGTAATAATATCAATATAAGTGTTCTCAAGAGGACCGGATTTTCTTTTCCACCGAATTTTTTTTCCGATATTGGACTGGTATCGCCAACAAAGTCATGTGTTACGCTGACCAAAGCTCACAGACTGCCTATACAGGTGACTTTGTCAGCTATCAGTTTGGAGAATTTTAGGACACAACATATGCTTACCGTAGTCACTCATTTTCTGTATGAAATAGGCCAGGTATCGGTGGATAAATATGTACTGTTCCTACAATCGGAAGTTCAAGTGATAATTTCTGGCAGCGAATTCACAAACCTCTGATTGCACCATATGACATCGATGAGACCGAAGCCATAAAACAGTTTTGTACACATCGATACATTGTGTCTTCCGTCTTCCCAAGCCAAATATCTTTTTCCGGGATACACTTTTTGTTTCACTAGTCTTGGTGAGCATACGACATGCACTGCTTGCGTCATCAGAATTTTCAGTCTTAGATGAGGGAAAGGCGCTTCCATCCATTGTTTTATTTTCAGCCTCCCTTTCAGTCGAACAAATGGTCTTGCTATCATTGAGGTTCTCGTAGACCGGTTCTTCCCAGTCATTTGGTTTGAGACGGGTAGCCGGGACTCCCAAGGGTTGAAAGTCGGGTTGTAGGTAAAGTCGAACTTGTTGGCATAGCTGATCCAAGCATATGAACGTTCCTGTTCGCCCTATGCCAGCACTGATGAAAAAACAACAAAAAATACCGAATAAAACCGTGATCAACGGTCAAAACGGTAAAGCTGAGCTAAAATGTCGGCAAGGGCGAATTTGCGACCGGTGACTGCGACAGGCGACTAGTTACACACTCGACAAAATCTATCTGAAAGTGTAAATGTGAATCACTAATGTAAATCAATATTGAATATGCCATTCGTTACTTCGAGAACGCTCACAAAATATCGATAACTAAATGCAGTTTGTGCAATGCACTGTCAAGCGTATATTTGTTCGCACATGACGCCTGAAACACCCTGGGAGCATAAACAGTCTCTGGATACCGAAACGTACAGCGGGGAAATTTTCCGCCACTAAATATGAGTTTAACGTTTTATGGAGTATATGAAGTTAATTCGTCGATTTTGTATAGTCACCTGATCATTGGTTGGAATACTAAGGAGTTACTTAGTAAATGCGTGACTCCTTTAGTTTACTTTGCAGGACAACGCTGTGAGATTTTTTGTGGCTTTTCTGGCGTCAAAACCTATGTTTATTTTAACGACAAATGGCCGTTCTTTTGCATGGTCTGACCGATTCTGTCGACGAAGTTTACTCTGAGTTTTGTACTTATCTCCATCTAAATGAATTCTTTCACTTGTGATCACATCATATTTCTTCACAGAAACTGCACTGTGGAGCAAAAAATGAGTGCACAGCTGGATGCGGAAACCATGTCTGTCTATTTTGCAAAGTTAAGTGGATTGTCTAGGATATCTACAAGGCGGATATAGCGTCAAACAGAGAGAAGAACATTTAAAAGTTTACATGCTGTGCGTCATGTTAAACAATGCTTTATATTGTCTTTCACAGTCAAGTTGTCCTCTTTATTTCTTGAAGTATTGGGACCATCATGTGAACCTTGCTTTTTTGAAGATTACTGGTTCCCACCATACTGGTCTTCTGTTACAGTTGGCTTTGCAGTGTTTATAGCCTCAGACTGTTGACGATTTATCGCCGCACAGAGGAGTTATGATTTAAATAATTAAACAAGATGTGAGTACATTGAGCTAGGCGGCAGTGTAGAGTCAACTTATCGAATATAGCGTAAGAATGCGGCCCTCGTACACGACTTTGCCTACTATGCAAAGATCCAATCGGTACTTCCATAAAATTCAAATTGGATACACTGTTTTTGCTGAAATAGAAAGAATCAGGCAAAATATTGCTTTCGGGAAGCAGGTCTTGTTTACCGGCACCGAAAAGGTTCCTCTCTATACAGCGGTAAACCTCTATGCAAAACAAAACACACGGTATTCTGGTTCCGCCAACCTCTGTTGTAGAGGGAAACACAATCAAAACTTTTGGTGACTTACTGTCTACAAAGCAAGAATGTCAAACCGAAACGGTTCTTTGCTCTTAATTGTATACGCATTAACTAGAGATTCACACAAAATGTCCTAGGCTATTTACGCTACAACTAAGTGAGAAAAAAGAAAGCCGGTATCCAGATTCTTTGTGGACCCAAGCAAGGGAAAAGATTCGATATCTTGAATACCTTTCCGAGTGAAATACAACGGACTCTGTGCAGCTCACTTAGTCTTATATGGTTATAGAAGATAGATATTTAGCAAGGTTTTCCGTTATCCCTAAGATAATTTTCAAGTGATATTAAATTTTGGAGTATAATTACTCACATTTGTAGCTCGTATTAAGTCAGGTAAAGTCTGGAGATATTCTGAACAGTTGTCAAAAAAATGCATGAAGCATGAGTGCGTGGAAAATGACACAAACCCGCGTAGATCGAATGTTTTTTACAACAAAATCAATGATGCCACCGACAAACCCGCGAGATCGAATGTTTTTTACAACAAAATCAATGATGCCACCGATGATACTGTATAAATGTCTCTTGTTAGCTGTGCTAGCATCACCTCAGAACTTGTCAACCGCTATTTTTTATCTGGTCTTCTACTGTAGCACAGAAAAATTCTACGCCTGGTTTTGCCGCGGGCTCAGCAATAACTCTACTTTGGTAGTCCGCGCGGCAGGAAAGCTTGGATAAGACGGTGAAAGCTTGACATTATTCTAACCTGGTTGCCTCATAAAGGAATTCCAGCTAATAAGTAGTATTTCGGCGGTAAATTAAATTCTTCCACATCACACCGTCTATTACAAAAATCTAGCAGAATGTGCTACATCCAAAAACTCAAATCAAAATATGCGGTGAAGCCCATTCTCGTGGTCGACTTCAAAACACTAATTATCATTCGAACTTTTCAACAAGAGGTAAAATTCCATAAAGAAGCTCCATAAATATGCGGACTTGCGTAGTCAAACGAGGAGTACGGAAGACGACGTTAATGTGCAACTTTTGTGTAGAGAGGCTCTAGTAAAGTCAAACAGCTTCTTGGCTGCGTTACGTAAGTTCAATACGTCCCATACATCAACGAGTAATTCACCAGTATATACCTTCTTACCTGTGTATAGAGCTATGAATGGAAGGTCGATGAAAACACCAGGAAACCCGCTTTACTGATTCAAATGTCCCAGTTATACCCTTGGTAGGGAATAGCACGAGACGTCCCTCCTGGTAGGTAATATGGTAATCCATCTTGAATCCCATAATAACACTTATTTATGGGGGCATGTCTGAAAGTTGGCAGTAATGATTGTAAGACTTGCGGAAGTGGTCTTTGGCTACCGAAGCTGCCCGAAAAGTTGGTCAATTGAGCAAATTAGAAATGTATGGAAACTCCTGCAGTCTATAGGTATGTTATCGAACTTGTGACGTGCACACTTTTAGTCACAATTCTGTAGACTTGAGGCATTCGATTGCTTATTTTCCTTTAGCACTGCCAACAACAAATTGGTTTTTCATACTGAAGGCTTGCAACCAGGTTGGGTTCTACAGTGTGTGTAGGGACTAGCGCGTCGACATTTTACGCTAAAGGTGTCGTTCTTTAAGCCATCAGCCTTGAAAGATGGGAGCTGAGGCTTGCGCTGTGTGTCATGCTTTCTTTTCGTATGCTGCGTGCGTAACCAGGTAATATTCTCCCACAGCTAACTTGCATGTTGCCGAGTGCTGCGATCTGCAATATGGACATGTGAACCTCCTCTCAGTGAGCTACATGAAGGCAGATATACCCACACGCAATCATGGAATGGTGTGGACTCAACTAGAACTTACTTTGGCAGGTAATGCCTCCTAAAGTCGATAGCCTGGCCAATCCCTCGAATTAGGAATACTGGCAACTAGCTAGTCCGCAGGTAAACAAAAGTAAATGGAAAAAACTGGCTACGGAGATTTAGATTACTTGTATGCGTTTCGATCTATAACTCCACAAGATTTTCGGATGAACATTTTGGGATTTTAATGCTGTCGCGAATTTCATGTTGCGTGGTAAGTTCAAGGGTGAGCCAAATGCAAGTCAAAGGATCGACCAATTCCGGAGGCTTACCGATGAATATTTTTGGCAGTGAGTTTTGGTCGGTTTGCACTCGATTTAGAACGAGCTAGCTGCTTTTGACGTTGAAAACCTAGCGTTTAGCAATTCTCAACGCCTAGTTGACATGACAACGAATGACCTGTTTTTGAAGTATAGGACACTTTTGCTGCACCCCGTCGACCGTCGATTCGCACCGAGTCAAGCGGCTTACACGATTAGTTACCTAATGCATCCACATCGTCCGAAAACGATAGATCACACAAACGCGTTACACACGGGGTGTGCACAATATCGGCTGTTTATGGGGGCATTTGACAGACGCCCATTTCCATCGTGTTATTTTGGTAGTCTCCTACATGAATTCATAAAACATGTCAATTATCTTACCTATGGGTTGAAAAACAGTTTGTTTCTCTTAAACAACACCGAGTATAATCTACATATCCATGTGGAGAAAAAATGGGTCATCTGTCTCGCTCGTCAAGTTGGTTGTTTTAATGGATGCCACTGTACACTTTACTTACCATGTTTCCAAACAATCCAGTTCCAATACCATCCTCCCTCTTATTAGGCTACAGCCTGGTAAAAATTGTCAGCCTCTTTTGGTGTACATTTTTTGAATGGATCTGTGTGGGTCTAATGTAAGGCCTTTGATTCTTGTAGTTCTCTTTATCAGGAGATGAGATTTGTAAATTTACATGATGATACCCATGAGGTTGATAAAAATTCCGTACACCACTGCTTTTGTATTTTTTGGGATCATCTATCTTACGTGCTTCCAACATGAGTTAAGGCTACCGTCAGTTTGCATATTGGTGTTTTTCGCTGCATTTGTACAATATTTTGTTCAATTACGACGTCAGACTGGTAAAAATTGAGGAAATAGTCCTACTTATGCGGTCCAGAGAAGAGTAAAACTGTTGGTGGACAGTGTAGGTGTTTCACTGGCTTTGATGTGGCATACTCTCTGGATGACTATTCTGAACGATTTCGCTTGAGTCTCCGGGCAACACCAAGACAGACCTGTCCAAATGGACTTCTTCATCAAAGATGTTAAAGTTCCGCCTCACAAACTACATAGAACCATGCTTTGTGGTTTGACGGGTACTGCGCTATCGAACATATCTTCTCCCAGGTCTCACCGCTTGCAATTTCCAACTAGGTGACTACTTTTACCCACTACTGTTGTAGAAGCCACAAAATCACACGAACACATTTGGGAACACGTCATCTGTGTGATGAGATAAAAACGAGTTAGTGTCACCTTCATTGGTGGGCAAATTAAAAATCCGCCCTAGACTGAAGACCGTATGCTTGAAGTAACTTTTGTTCGTGTTCAATGCACGGAGTTATTTTCTCGCCCGCAGTTCAATGAAATTCTTTACATCTAATCTGCTTATGGCTTTTCTTATGTATGTTTTCCATCCAGACAATTTTTGGGGAGAAGCAATCCCCTAAATTTTCTATGAGTCAGTGGATTTTTAACAGTGTTTTGCAAAACTTTGACCTTTCCGTCATTTGTGCAGAAATTTAATTCGAACAGAGGAAAGTCATTCTAAATGTACCAGAACCGATCCTTTGGTTCTGTAGCTGTTTTCCTAAGACAGTATAGTAGACTGTAGAAAATTTACTCGACTCGACAATAATTTAAATTCCGAGAAACTGATGATAACATTGAAACAGTGTAGGATAATATCATTCGTTCTAATAAGTAAGACTAGAACAGAACTTTGGATAACTCCTTACGATTCCATCAATAACACATTTATTGTTTTGCGCTATTTAGAGGGTAGCAGACTGGAGTCCAGGTTGGATCGCGTGTAGTATGAGAATCTTAGTTTAGCCAACACTTCTTGGTCGTGGTCACTCATTGGGAATCCACACATGACTGAGTTGGAAAAAACAAAGGACAACAGAGGGGTAGCGGGAGTTGTCTTACCAGAACACAGAACTCATAAATCTGTGAAAAGCACTCCGATAGACCACAAGCTGTTTCGACTTTCCTTGGGTTCGTCACCTAACTTCAGTCTCTGAGTCTCTCTCAAACATGTGTTCTGCTTGAATTTAAATGGTCCACAATCAGTAAAATATACACAGTTGCAAGCGAATTTGGTTACAACGGGAGGCTTAAGTTAATTCCGTTGGATTTGGGTCCGGGCACAACATAAAATTGACGAAGGTTTGTGGACTGTGCAGGGCGATGGCTGTCAAAATACTTCAAGAAAACTTATCATATTCATCAGGAGAATGACGTGTCAGTTGGAATATGAGACGTCATTTGTTCAACACATCCAGCTGGAAGAGATCAGAATATTTTCTAGTGGCTGAAGTAGCGAACGATCAAGTCTGTTTATGCTGTGCTATCCTAAGCCGTGCAATCAACTCCTGTCACTACTGTAATTTTTGGTGATTAAGCTCACTTGAATTTAGCGGAGCACCCAGGTTTGTTGCCCGACAGTGAACGGGATCACATTACTTACGTTGGTAAGTGACCACGTAAGACGGTAAAGGCGTCCTTTTAGATTCCGCCATTTGATAAAAAGGTATGTACGCCTGACCAGCTTGGCAGTATTTAACGAATGTCTCACCAGTAATCAATATACTATCAAGGTGGACATTTGAGTGTCATCTAAGAAGAAGTGAACAAAATCGTTTCACTAATGGTCCGTAAGTACCACCATTAGTCAGGTACAATTCTGCGATACGGGTGAACCTGGGAAGATTGCTGCTGAAATCACTTGTTCAGTGTAGACGGTGTATTTTTGCCAGCTGAAATGATCACAGTCGGCTATCCATATTATGATCGAACATAAACAGTGAACGCGAGGTCTAACAACCACTGATTTTAGATGGTATGAGATGATAATAGTTACGGCAATACACTCAGCCCACTCACCTGCAATGGATTAAAACCGGTGCTTCTGTTCCGGCGCAACATCTCCGTTCTGTCCAGTATGCATACAGAAGTGATCCGAAATCGTCCACGTTTGGTGCCGAATAATCGACCCACTTTAGCATGTGAAGCTGTGTGATAATGCGCCGATTTGGCTTCCCACTTGGTACAGTCTAAGGTCATAATAATATTGACAACGATAATGAAAATGATCTAATACAGCCAAACGGCATGCAAAGTTTGGATTATCTAAGTATTTGGTAAAACTTGGTGATAAGCTTTGGCTTTCGCAGAATGTCCGCAACACTGAACTAAGCCCTGAGTACGGTCAAAAGAATAAAGATCTGCTTCGTGGCAAAGTTGTCTGCATGCTAGCAGAAAAATGTGCATATACGATACACATAAATGATGCGGAGATGGTTTCGAAACCAACATTTGAACTATAGTAAAATGAATATTTTCCCTTATTAATCAACTGGTGGGTAATAGTTCCTTCTGTGGACCTCAGGTAAGCATGTAAGTTTGGTGCGATGACTAACAAAACGGAAATTGCAGTGAACATGCCAATAAAAGTATTTTTCTTTACGTCCAGAAAGTGTAATACAGTTGGGTTAGACGGTAATTTATGTTGTCTGTCGTTGATCAAATTACCATAACCTACTGAAAAAAACCACAAGTCACTTCAGTGTTATCAAATCTATGGATTGATTAACGGAGTAAAATTCAGAGTATCTGGTTGTATAATTTACCGAAGAGGTGAACAGTATCGTTTACAAATATTTAAAGCTACTCTCTAGGTGCATGTGAATACTTGGAGTAAATGATGGTAGCTAAAGTAGAGGCTCAAGTTCGCTTACATGGAAATTTGTTTTCATATGAATCTTAAGAATGTTATTAGACAAATCAGCATCAGATCTTCCAAGTTCTACCTAGAAGTCAGGTAAGCTACACCGTGTCATGTGAACTGTGTTGATACGTGAATATCGGTGAGGGAATGTTACTTTTTGGGGTGAAGTTTTACTACCCAAGATTTCAGCCACTTCTAATAACCTTTAGTTAAAAGAAAGTAGTATGAATGAAACCGACTGTAAAATGCTTCCCGACTGAAAGCTCTTGAACAATCACTTAGGTGTGTTTGGCAAGCATAGAAGAGAAATAACTGTAGTGTATCTACAAAACCATCAGGAAACGTCACAAGATCGGCCCAGAAGGCACAACCGGCCCAAGCAGCAATGCAGGCGTCAAATAAAAAGCTTTCAGAGGTATTCATACGAAATTCTGGCCAGCTAGACTAAAAAGAAAGTGTCCAAAGCACTCAAAGATGCTGTATCATGAAAATATCTGAAGAGTTGCGTCCTTCAAATAACATGCGGAGATTCTAAATAAAGATCGTTAAGTGAAACCAGCAAGTGGCTTCATGTACGCATTGCAGATTACATGGGGCCTGTAGGCCTTGCACCATGAAAAACTGTCTTGGTCTATGAGCTGAAGTGGAATCCGTTAGCTCTACATTACTCTCCCACGAAGTCATGATATATTATGCAAATAAACCAAACTATTTACCGAAACCTATGCGGTGTCGCTTTGCAGAAGGTGGTATTTCACTCTCATCCTGCACGTTCCAGACGAAATGACAGCCAGGGTATACCTTGGCTGAAGATAGCGCTAGTCGGCAGTAACGAAACAAAAGCACACCGCAAAATTACTTGCATATGAGTTCATTTACTATTAGGGGTTAGTAGTAGATAAACTGATTTATGAGGATGCCGCTTCTTTGGTGCTACAGGCAATTCATCTCCCGATAAAGGTCATCCGATTGGATCCGAACGCTGAATGTTAAAACTTAAACTCAACTTAAATCTTTGTCCCTTTCGCAGATGATACCTGATTGGCCACATAAAAGCACCACACCCTTGGCAACCACATGCACATTTTTGAGATCCTTTTGGGCTAACATGGTAATTAAAACCGAATGGTGGAGGGTCAGAGCAAAGAGACATCCAGGCGTAAATTTGGTGCGTGAGAATGGAACTATCTCATAGAAAACTTACAGAGTTCGTCAGCCTGAACTTTCGGGTTACGTAGATTTGTGTATTGATTTCTTCCAAAAGTGTGACCGTAAAGTGACCTAGACTGAGCACTTTGGATTTTTCAATCGGATCATCCGAAACGGTGGTGTTTCCTGAGGGACCAGGCCAGTACTGCGCGCACTTTTCTTTGGATTCTTCAGTAAGCCTGTATATAAAAAGATTTCAGACGTGCGAAGGTCTAATTGGTCTTCTGCACCGGGGAGTGCTGTTGTCAGCTTTGCAACAATGCCGAAAATTCTGGGGGTAAATTACACGAATTATTCTCAGGATTGCGTATCATCTATGGTTTAGTGGTGGTGTAGCAAATAAATCGGCTCCAATCAAAAAAACTTCAAATCTATCTTGCGGATAAAAAATATCTTTGGCAATGCAAACTGAAAAGTTAAACTGGTATCTGCATACCCATTTGTCCCTAAGGTAACGAAAATCACTTGATGAACAGAAGTCAGGCAGGTTCACCTAAATGCAAGCCTCAGCAATGTACGCGACTAGCATGATAATACCGTACTCCAACCTCAGTATACTACCGTTAACTCATGCTGGGCATCACAGACGTTCTGAACATCTTAAGAAAATTTGAGTGCCACTTTGCTGTAGAAATTTTCTATCAACTGTGGACTTGTTGGTTCATAATATTCATACAATAAGAGAGCGACTCGGTTTGGATACAGAAGGCCAAAAGACGCCATCAGTAGACATTGGAGCAGGCTGGGCGAAACGTGGAGTTTCCAGGCTTAAAAAATTGAAAACCAAGTAATTTGAGAAAAATTTCCCCGCCATTTGTAGCTGATTATCATATGGTCCTTGCAGGACATCCCTGATATCTGACTTGTTCACGTCTAATGTATTTACATTGACGAGGTAAACAAAACCTTAGACACAAGTGCAGGTTTCCGTCACTATCAAGTGCACTGGATGCTTGGACTGATTAGGGTTGTGTGTCTTCTTACCTTCTTATATGGCATTTCCCTCATTAGTTTCAAAGTGTTACTATAGGTTTCTGCATGCTTTTAGCTTTCTTGAAATAAACCGAAACTCAGTACTCCCTTCGATCAAGTAAAATGGTTGTGCCTTTTCCTGGCTTAGAGAAATACGATTCACATATCTCAGAATTTCTCCAGCAAGGGTTCATCTAATTACCCAGTCGTGCGATATACTGAGACACCTTCTTATGGAATTGGTACAACTGACTACCACGTGGGACTTTATGCTGAAAATGTTAAGTATCTGTGATGCAAAGGAAAAGTTCAAATGTGTTCCAAGAGTCAACACTTGTGAGATTTGATGTGAAACTTGTTTAAGTTTTGAAAACAGCGCCGAACATGTTGACAAACTAGTAGCCCATACATTCAAGCATTTACAAGGTTATCTCACTCCCACTAAAACGGACAAACTGATCCTAGTGCTTTTGTTTGGCTTCCTATATTCTTCTGTTCTATAAACTTGTGATGTATTTGTTGTGGTGCTTCATCAACACCTTGAATACCGTATTACCAAATACAAGCATACCGCACAGTTCTGTGGGAAAATGTGTCCGCTTAACGGATTTTACAGATGACAACCAGTTTACCCTGGAAACTAAAGTGCTTTTCTCAAGAAAAAGCGCGTTATCATACTTTCCGAAAAATTGCAATTTAATAAAGTCCATGAAGTGATAGTGATCAAAGCCCACGAGGCTTTTCTTTTGATTGGATATGTTTATACTGAGCATTCAAAGACGACAGAAACTGTGCAGTTCACACACGAATGAAAAACTGAAGGAAGGAAGTAAAGATGTCTCATTCATCCATACTATCCTCTATCTACATAGGAGACAGTCGTTAAAAGTTGCCGCGATGAAAGGAACGTATCTGTTGTATCAGAAATACTGTATTCTTTTGTTACTAAAAACTTCCACTTAGGAAAAATCAAATGGAACAAGTTTTGCCGAACGATTTTCCGCTATGTCGGCAACCCGTGCCAGAAAATTAACGTACTAATCTCTTAGTTACCAGCTTTGAAACTAAATTCCACTTTGGATTAAGCAAAACGACCGCCGGCAACTTGAAGGGTTTGGGTTTTGTTTATTAAAAGGAGACTAAACGTATGTGGTCCTGGTTATGTGATCGGGGGCAGCTTAGTTTGCCATTTGACCTATTTGCCACATCAAGGTGATTCTGCTGACTCCTGATCCAAGAAAGCAAAAATATATACGACAATAATAATTTGCAGTTTTAACCCCTGCATCAAAATCTCAAAAGCCAAAAGCGTGCGGATACTAAGATTCTGCACCCATTATTTAGCCTCTATCGACGCTCCGTTAAGTTCGCTAAGTGAATCTTCGTAGGTTCAAGTGCTGGTCCGAAATCGTTTTCTCATTATTATTGCTATTGGTAGTGAAAAGAATGAACGGAAAATTTTGAATTTTTCACCTTGTTTAAATTAAATACACACGAAAAAGTGGACTACTGAAGGTCGTTTTCTCATTATTATTGCTATTGGCAGTGAAAAGAATGAACGGAAACTTTTGAATTTTTCACCTTGTTTAAATCAAATACACACGAAAAAGTGGACTACTGAAGTAGCATCCTCCTAGGTATGAATCCAGGCAACCACAACAAAGGAAGCTAAACCCACTTTGTGAGTAGAATAATCAATTTAACCTCACGATCCCATATCATTTGCCAAAACAACGTCCTTGTATGTGAGGTGGGTGCCTGAGCGGCAATATAGACACGCGGAAGATGGTTTTCTCCAACCAAACAATTTGAGACTCCTGGAGCATGTCCACGAATGAGGCTGGCATTGACGTAGTCCGAAGGTATCCACTGTGCCTCCCCAAGTTCTTCCTGGACTCTGGTTGTTGAATCGGCCTCCTTCAATGATACTGACTTGGAGTTGGTTTCGTTCGAATTAGTTCCATTTTCAGGAAGTGATTTTTTCGTATCAGGCTTCGAAATCGCCTCTGGGTTGATATCAACCAGTCTCCATCGTTTTTGAAGGTGAACGTAATTGTGGTCAACTGAGTGATGAGAAGCGTTACAAAAAGCATCAGCTAGAGCAATCCATGAGTATGAAATTAACGCAACTCTCAAGATCCACGCGTTGAAAGGATACCGTAATATGTTGAGCAATAAAAACGGAGGAATACAACAAGTACTTTGTTCATTCTGATTGTTAGCAGCCGGGCATGCACTGCCGGTTCACAAGGTTTTGGAAATATTCCAAGGGGTCCGGATTACATCGATATCAAGGCTCAATAAAATACTAATTCATTACGCAAGGAGAAGTAAAAAAACCAATGGACATTACTTCCAGCTATTTAAGAAAACTCTTATTCAATCGGCTTCACCTGTATTTCACTTCACAAACACGGAAATTGAGTACTTTTTGCATTAGGAGTTGGCAGTTCCATTAGAAACTTCTGGATCAGAATGTTTTGACACTCCATTAGATGGAAATGTCTTTCTGGAGAAAAGGCTAGTGTGTAGTTACAGGCTTGAATAGGAACTGTAGTTACAAAAATCTAGTAGACGAGCAGATTGCTATCTAGCTCTGAGGCAGCATGTTTTAATTCTAGAAGAGAGGTGATGTCAGCAACTGAAAAACTTGGCAGTTGATTCAGTGCATAAACTAGTCATGCGTCTTTCGTAACGCTTATGGACGTTTTGCAAGCGTAAAATTATGACAATTAAAATCTGGAAAACATACATGGAAGCAAATTTCGATATTTGTTTCGTAGTCGATTTTCCGGAAGTTGGCCGATCTCACGTGTCAGCCTTTTGCTTTGTTCTTGCCAGGCAGCGTGCATTTTCAGCGCCTGAGTTGTGGATAATGTGGTTCAAGGAATGGCATGAGAGAAGTCTCTAGAGAAAGTAAAAGTTTCTGGCAAAAATGCTGTTATACTGAGCCAGTAATTAGTTTGTCTGCTTATACTCTTTAACTCACAGTGCTGCCGTACAAAGTGTTAGACACAACAAATCGCAAATTTTAAATTCCATAACACACCTTCGAGTTTAAAATGGCCAACGTAAAACCAAATTTGTGTCATCCGCAGCAAATCCCGTTATTCATGGAGGTCAGTATCTTCCATGAAGATATCATAAGTGAATCATTTCCGCATGTCGGCCAGCGCGTTTTCAATTAATCAAATGTGAGTTTCTAAGAGCAAATGTATGGGAAATTCTCACTATTTTTGTCCCAAAAACAGGTGAGAAAAAGAACATTCTGGTGGCACATAATTTACATACTAAATCGTAAATATCCACATGATATTTAAGGACCACGCAATCATGCTTGTTCAGGAACGACCATTGCTGGTTTCCGTCGCAGCTTTTGTTGGAGGTCATAAGTTCCAATGGTGGCTGTTATACCACACGTTGTAAACCTGACCTAATCCCAATGGGCCTTAATGGCGCCGGAGCTTAGCTATTTTCAGTTGCATTCCAACGTACTCTTTGTGGGCTATCCTATCAATCATGATTGTGCCTTGTGCTGAATTTATGGGAGGCGGATTTTGTGCAAACGATCTCGTTGCTGGTTAGGACACAAACTTAATGACCGGAGGATTCGTGTTTATCACCCGACCCGGGCATCTCCACTGGTCCTACCTAGGCTTTGGCGGTCGTGCTCTCTTCGCATGACATGGCAGCTAGGCACCAAAATGATGGTATATTATGACGACCTATTCAAATGGACTGGATCCGTATTTCAGATTTGGGGGTTTGCACACGGTGAGTCCTATAAGTTCAGACGCACACTTCGAGAGACTTGGTAAGACATCTGAATAAAAGGGTAGCGCAACATGTTGGCTGGTTGCTAATTTCACTACATTACAGCTTACGTAAAAATTCAGTAACTTGTATTTTTAGGAAATCAACCAAATGCCCCCAAAAGTCGTTCTGCTGTAACAGTTGTTCGGTGCCTAGTTGTGATGCCACCCTGAAGGAAGCACAGGAGCTTCCATACTAGTAGGCTAGCAAGGCTAGACAGAGGCACTCGAATTACTCTGGTTGGGTTTGAACTGATGAATTTAAGAATTGAGCGCTGAGCTAAATCGTACCCAAATTCTCAACATACATTGAGGGTACCCGGATGTTTCTCTCGTTTTTATCAAGAGTTTAGAAGCTCGTAGTTCATCGAAAAGTGTTTGTAAACTTTGGAAAATTCCCACATTTTATTTTGAGTGGTAGGTGCCCTTCAACCGCTTTCAACCGCTCCCAGGCTAATCTGCCAAACTGTGCATAATTGTTATGAACTCTCTCTTCTCAGGGATTCCTGATCAGTGCATCTATAAGTTCTTCTGAATTCTGTTCCGTCTTGAACAGTATTACAGATCATTTCACTACACCTGAAAAACTACTCACAATCTTTAATACTCAACAATACCTTCTCTTGAGTAGTTTGGCAATCCCATATTAGACCTAGGCAAACCAATAGCACGCTTCTGTGAGACATCAACTGACTGACTCATCACTTTCACCTTGCTTCGGACGTCAAGGCAGATCACAGTGCTCATCAATCGAGGGAATCATAAAGTACGCTGAGAACGGGGTTACCGTGATGTAACTATACTTGAATTCGGTTGGTCGGTAACAAATAGTGGCTTTGTGATTTGTGGAAGCGGGTGGGTAAACTGTACAAACATTCTATGAAAAGTGCACGAAAGACTTCGGTCAACATTTTATAGCCCATGATTGAGTTGATGGACCACTGAGACGGACAAAAAAAGAGCCAACCCGTACAGACGGAAAATATGTCAAACTGGAAGACGGTCGCGCAGGATGGAACACATTCACTTGATATATCAATGCAGTCGATAAATTCAACGTTGTGGCGCTTGATCACCTGCTCCACTTATAGCGGATACCATAAGTTCGGGCCAGATTAACCCTCGTTAGTATTTAGAAGTGTGCAACCTGGAAGTCAACGAACAGACTAGTAGAGATACAGTGTACACGAGACCTTGAACTCCCTTTTGTCGCGGTGTGTTGCTCAAATCCACTGAAGTGGCTTTGTGCACTGTCCAGGAGACGTATCTTCCATCACATCAGGAAACTATTGAGATGTATATGATTAAGATGGATAGAGTACACTGATAACGCCGTTTGCCGATGTGGAAAGGTAGACCCTGATGAAACGTGAAATCAAGAACCTTCAACATGGTATGATTCCTCCACAATGTAGATTACTTCGTTCGACCGAGCAGCTCAATGGCGTGAGTGCGGTAGACCGTACAGTACAACTTCTCGCAGTAAGCCAATTTGGTAGGAACCTGTTACAACTGGGTGGGGCTACACGGTACAAACTCCGCATAAATATGTAGGTATCTCCTTTCTCAGTGTGGAAATGGCTTGTTCGAATGCTCAGGTCCTCCAGTAGGATTCATGGCCTAATATAACTTCTGAAGGGAGATCGCTTGCCTGGCAGGTCAGTCAAATGATGCCTTGTCGAAGGGTACCGTTGGTTTATCCAAGCTCATTGGGGGAGTAACAGGCTGTGTTCAGCAAAGAGCAGAGTTGATGTACGACAGAAAACTGAGCAATATTCTACGGCTGTTTAAATAAATAAATGATAAATAACCACCAATTATTTCAGTAATCTCGAGGGAGATATCCTTAAGTACAAATTTTAATATAGGGGTTTCAATACCATGTCATTTGGCTGTACGCAGTTTATAAGCAAAGTGACATTTGGACAGAATAGGATACCTCTAGTTTTTATTCATGCTGTTCACATCGCAAGAAGTAATGTACACTAAATTTTGTAGTAGGAAGGCCAACTATCTGCCAAGGCAGTTCCCCTGTTAAATAGGTAAATTACATCCTGTAAGTGCCGGGGCGATTTTGTTGTTTGAAGTGTGACATTGTCTCGCAGATGAAGTCAATCTTTCCTTGGAATCCCTAGAAAAGTGTGCGTGGATTCTGCCTTTTTTTGAAAATTCCCAACGCCCTCCTGTTACGTGCCCATGGAAGAACATAGGGTGAAAGCCAGTCAACATCATGACATAGACTTAACGAACTAAAGGTGGTGTAATTGGTCAAAAGTCAGTCGTGGTGACTGTAATCCACATATATTTGTAATATGTTGCTTTTGCATTCCTATTCAGATAGCAATTCCGAAACCCATGGATACCCACGGGCTGTGCACAACCGGTGATTCACATCAAAGTTGGGACTGCCTTTCAGCAAACTGTTTTTACTTGCAGGATAAAATTTTGACGTGAGTTACACTCAGTAGACTCATATTGAAATTTTTATTATGGATATTTTGTAAGTAACTGCCTTTCAGAAAACTGTTTTTACCTGCAGGATAAAATTTTGACATGAGTTACACTCAGTAGACCCATAATGAAATTTTTATTATGGATATTTTGTAAGTTTTTCTACGACATCTTCAGCACACTACTCATTTTTTGACTTGAACAATTGTGCTCAATAATTTGGCCCCTAAACTAATCAATTCAAGGTTTCGAGGATCTTAAAATGCTGGAAACCAATTTATTAGCAGCCACTTAGTTCCTTGCGAATTCCTATGCTTCGGTTAAGCTGTGTGTTAGCTGTTACACAACAACGTAATAAAACTTAGAAATAACAAGACTGATGTACGTAATTGAATGCTAACCTTGAATTCATCTCGGAGTGAAGCAAAGTTATTATACATTTGCTTATCAAACCAACCGGAAAATTCGTGCACCATCAGTGGGTCTGGCTGTCGAAACGAAAACCTGCAAATAGGATAAACAAAAGACGACGAAAAAACGAGGAAAGCAGGACACTGCGGAAAAAGACCATTAGGTTTCGGACAATATTCCTTTTCCAAGATGTTCTGAAGATTCTATGCTTATATCATTACCATGATAAGTATCACAGACTGAAAACAAATATAAAAAGATTGTATAATTCGTAAAGATTGAAGCAAGTGGATGATACTACTATCTCCTAGCCCGATTTCCGTGTTGGTTTGATTCGATTTACGGCTCGCAAACTGAATAAGTTGGTTGTTGCTATCCGAGACAATATATCATTTCAAGTCAGGCCAGCGGTGTGGGAAAATTTGTCAACAAGTTGTCCAGTAACTAGGTCTAACATAACAATTGGTCTCTCAGTGGTAGAATACTCAAAGGAACAACAGGAGCTAAGAACAATATAGAAGTCCTAATCCTAAACCTCAAGATAATGCAAGACAATTTTGCTTAGCTAGCATTTAGCTTTTTTTTGCGAACAAGAACTTGGTATGGCAACTTAATTCAGCGGATATTTCATAGCAATCATCAAGCAATAATTGACGGTCAACAAATGAATTTAATTTTGCTAGATTCTACCGAAATTCCAAGGCACGGCATTTAAGAGCACTAACGATTCATCTGACTCGTTGCTGGGAAAGATCTAAAGTAATTTTAAAGAAAACACTGGCAGTTTTAGAGTATAACACTGTCTGAGGATAATGGCTTATTGTTAGTATCTTATAGTCACAGGATTGCAAGTGCAGTGCTCCCACCACTTCATAGGGACCACCTTTGAGATCTGGTCAAGTCTGTCCTTATGGACCTCCTCCCTATTCGTATTGGCTGTCTAGAAACCCCAAATTTATATAGCAGCCGAATAAATACTTTATATACAGTACTATCCACTCTTTCTTCCATTCGTTTAACATTTGGTCTCAATGCAATTGGCTGTTACAGGAAACATTTTTAGGGTTTATTGCTCAGCTGGATTTCTGTGAGGGAGGTAAAATGAGAAGTAAAAACTGCTTGAACGCTGATCTCCCAAAACACCATTTATATTACGGTATTACAGTCAAAGTGTTGATATAATGGTGACCATGCCGTTCAACACTGACGGAGGATTAGGAAGTTAGAAATTTGAAAACTGACCTAAAAAGTGGATGGCTACACTTCTCTTAGTGGAAGAGAGAACTGGCTACGCCTGTCGGTTTACTTTTGGGGTAGCTAGGCATCATAGACAAACTTCCAAATAACGATGTTAAAACTGTCGGTTGGAAAGGGTAAACAGAAGGTAGAAGTTAGGCTGAACTGGCGTGAAAAGAAATCAAATACCGCGACCGTACTATAGAATTACCCGTTCACAGCTGGCTGCGCTATTTGCCAGAATAAATGCAAAAGGATTGTCGGCCACTGGTATGCATATTGACATTTGCAGCAATTTGGAAAAAAAGTGTGGTTTCATGCTTTGGTTTAACTCTTTACTGAAAAATCAGTGAACCAGTTAACGCGTAATCTCAAATACTGATAGATGTTACATAACAAAACTGGTTCAACGAATGGCGTCTTAGAAGCTGAGTGTGGTTTTCTGCGCAGTGCAACTTACAGGGATAAAAGAAGTTGCTATCAACATGTCCCAGTTGCACTTGGATTGTCGTACGTCTCTAGTGAACGGAATTTATAGAGTTTTGGAGACTAATGTAGCTAAACAAATGTGAGCCATCAGTGAGGTTGATTATTAGCATTATTACGTGTGATTAAGGCGAACTGTTGGCACAGGCCTTAGCTAAACAAATGTGAGTCGTCAGTGAGGTTGATTATTAGCATTATTACCTGTGATTAAGGCGAACTGTTGGCACAGGCCTCCGCCTGACTGCATTGAACCACATGGAGTGTACGATCAACTGACACACCAAAAATAACTTCAAGTTCATGGCAAGCAGAATGGAGCGGCAGAACAAAAAATGAATGATAGTGTTGCACTTACTGGGTAAGCCGGGGCGGAAGAATAGGAGTTTTCACATCGAGCCGTAAGGCCTCATCCTCGTCACTCATTTCGATGATTCTATGACCGAAATTCAACAAAGGCGATGGTTTAGAATGTTAAGCGTAAGAGCTGGTTGGTTGGTCTGAAAAATTATTTGTAGAATAGAATCAAATCGCTGAAGCGAGTTTTCAGTCTTGTAGGGGAATGAAAAACACCCATTCTGTCCCATTACGACTGTTCGTCGAGAGATTTTGCTTTTATTCATTGGAAGTTTATTGCCAAAGTACGTGGTGCACTGATTCCGCATATTGAATAATTGAAAGAGACTTCACTTCTGGGTTCGTTTTCTTTATCTCCGGTGTGACAAAGATGTGGAAAGTCAATCCGCTAAAGTTTATGTTTATACTTCAGTTTATGAAATACCTCTTCCGGAATACCAGAGCTTCGATTGTCATTGTTCTTTGATGGCAACACACCAATTATACATAATGATCCTTAACTGCTATCGCATCAGCGAAAGTGTTTGTTGGCATGACTTATGTGTGCCCACAACTTCTTTCAGTAGACGTGTGAATGAATGATGAGGGTTATCATGTGGGTTAATGTAAGTTCATCAGCTACTCGAAAATCTTCCTTGTGTTTTTACCAGAATACGTACAGAAAGCTGCATGACGGACTTAATATCTCGTCATCTTTGTCAACAGAGGTGAACGATTTTCGGTTTGCCACGATGGACTGTAGCAAGAATAAAAAAGTGTATGTTCAAACGAAAAGGTTGTCGTTTTATTTCTACCACAGAGCACTCAGCAGTAATGAAAACGTGATTGAAATCACGATAGAGTTTACTCTTTTTGACCAGCGTTACCTCAAAATGGCACCATGTAACTGATAACGGGTACTTTTTGTCAGCGAAGAGGACAATCCACTTTCAGTTTTCGTCTTTGGCTGTAAATAGTCTACTGGAACAGTAAGTGTCCACTTGCGTCTTTTGGGAGTTCGCCCCCCACGAGAAAGGTATAGGAAGGAAGCATTAAAAACTGTTTACACGAAAAGGACGATCCATCATACTGGTTTTTCCCTAACGAACATAAAAGGGTAAACATTTTCAATCCTGACAAACACTTAGTAAAGACCGCTCTTATTAAGTCACTGCACATCTTCCTGTCTAACAGAGAACTATCCCGAATACTTGCAGCGCCCGAAAAAGTGAATAATTGACTAGGATTTTGCAATCCAAAACGTAAAAATTGTTTTTCTGAGGGATAGTTCCAAGGGACTAAACTCTCTAGGTGATTTCTTGATACTTTATTTTTAACAAGGGATAACCAGTAACTAGACTTGAAGACCAACTTTTCTTGTTGCTTCCAGTTCAACACTTCATTTTTCATTAAATTTTTCATT